TTTTTTATTTTAAGAAAAGCGCAAACAGCAGCAAAAAGCAATTGAGAACCGTGAGCTAGGCATAAACGCAAAATGATAGAACGAAATCACAAAACTTGGGCAAAAATAACACGAAGAAGAATAACAAATCAGCAGCTGTTAAGGACGTGGCGTGGCATAGAGGCGGGGCTACAAGCCAAAACGAAAGGGGTTGCTTGAGAGAGCTATAGATGTATAGTTATATATATATAGATATTTACATATCTACATATATACTCCACATAGAGCATAAGGATCAAAATTAAAAACAAAATGAACTAAGAAAGGAAAATATTTGCAATTAAGAAGAGAAATCATGCAAGAAACAAAAAATGAAACTTTGGCTTATAATACAGATGAGCGTCTGTGTGAGTGGCTGAGAAAGAAAGAGCAAGGGGGCGAGAGGGAGAGAGAAAGAGAAAGAGGCTTATAGCAAAGACGCGAGCAGAAAGAAGACGAGAAAAAATTGTCAAAGAATAATTGTTTTTGTGTGTGAGCGAGAGAGATAGTGCTGGCCAACCAAAGCGAATGACAGGGAGAGTGAGGGGGAGAGCTAGTTCAACAAGGAAATGAAGTACTCAAGGAACAATATAGTTTTTGTTCTTAGCTGTCAAGCCAAATGGCAAATATTAATATTTCATTAGTTCATGTTATGAACCACTAGTTCTTTAAAACTAATCCCTCATTTAATCAGAAAAGTTTGGTTTCAATCTAATATACATTTTGACTGGATTCAATTGCAAATCCCATATGAACTAGCTAAATTTATACTTGTTCACAAGCGAACGAACTAGTTCTTAAAAAACTGAATAGCTTTTTGCATTGTTAGGGTGTTAAAATTTCAATTTCAACTGGAAGTTTTTTACAAATATTTTCAGGTTCCAATCATGAACCAGTTAAGTTCACAATTTTTGAGGAAATATGCTCTGCAACAAGAAATGATTTACTATTATCATTGTAAGAGATTGGGAATATAAAGTTGATAATTATTAAGAAAATGAACTAGTTCTTAAAAATATTTACTCATTTTCATCATACAATATTTCAAACCAGAGGGACGCTCAGAGGGCCAGCTATATGGAGTGTGGGTGTATACATGTGTGTGAGGGTATGTACGTATATGTGTGTGAGTGTATGTATAAAATTAGCTAAGAACTATATTTTGATTGAACAAGTATTTGAAGACTAAGTAAAAAGTTATGAAGAAAACTAAAAAAAAAAGAAGTCAACCGAACCGAAAGAACTTTTTAGAGCCAACCAACTAAAGCTAGAAAAACGAGTAAGTTTTGTTTTCTTCTTGATATATTAATATATAAAGAGAGAGTTTAGAGATAGATATATATAGATATATATATATAGATGTAGGTGTAACTAAACTAAAACTATAAAAAAAAAAATCAGTTAACAGAAGAAAACTAGATATATTGTAGATAGAGCTGTATGTTTTGCCATAAAATTTATATATATATAGGGAAATATTTTCTTTTTGTCTGTTTTGTATATATTAGATAAATAGCTGGGAATGTATATATATTTATAAATATACATATATATGTATATATATATGTGATGGCACATACATATATAGGTATATGTGTATATTGGGTATATCTCTTAATGGATGTGGTTTGGGTATTGTTGATTGTTGGTTGCTCTTACTTGAAAAACTGTGACAGTGGCCCACAAAATGTTGTTGAAGTGTTTACGATCGCATTCACATTGCGGATGTCGGCTGATTATTTCGGGACACGTGCATTCGCGTTCGAGTCCGGATTCATCCAAAAATTTACAAAACTTACCGCCAAACAGATACATGCCGAGTATGCTGTAGGTTTATACGTATATATGTTTTATATATCATATATATCAGTTTTTTGGTTGTTAGAGAGAGAGAGAGAGAGGTTTTCTTTTCTTTTTTTTTTTTTTTGTGTGGTTGTTGATATGTATATATATATTGTAGGTTTTCTTTATATTTAAAAAGTATAATTTGTATTAATTTATTGTTGTTGTAGTTGTTGTTGTTGCTGACTTCAAGTTTATAAGAAACTTGGAGCTAAGTGGATTTTTCTTTGGAATAGAATTGATTGTATAACTGTTTAATTTTGTACAGAGTGGATAGAAAACTGTGAGTTTCGTGTTCTATTTTATTTTATTATTATTTGATGAAGCAAAAAGTTGAGCAAAGAATAAAACTGTTTTATTTTACAGAGTTTTTTTTTTGTATAAAAATATATATATTTTTTTTAGTAATTTCTGTAAACCTCATAAACTCTAGAGACTGTACTAGGTATGTATTATATATATGTGTGTATGTGTATGTGTATAAGTATGTGTATGTATTTATGTATATGTATGTTTATGTGATATGTATAGTTTTCATTTAAGAGGAATATAGATTACAGTTTAGAGTTGAGAGTGCTTCGGTATAGGTGTATGTGTGTATGTGTGTGAGGGATTTTAGGTTAAGTAGACGGAGGGAGTATACAAATTCTAAACAACTTAGAGTCTAGAGTATATATAGCAATAGATATGTACCATAGATGCATATATAGATAGTAATAAACACTTAGACAAGGGAGAGAGAGAGAGAGAAAAAACACAGAGAGAGAGAGAGAGAGAGAAAGAGAATAAAAACATGTGTGAATGTGTGTGTGTGAGAGAGTGCGAGTGTGTGCGCGTGTATATGCATGTGTGATACGAGGTAAAGGACGTGTGAGAACAAATCGAAAGAGTTGGAGTACGAAGTCGAGCGAGTCAACGTGTGTGAGTGTGTATAGACAGCAGTAGGTGTGATCGATAACACACTTATCAATTAAGCAAGCCAAAGTAAGTAAATGCATAGACAGATATACATAGGCAAAGACAAATATATAGATATAGAAATCGATATAGATATGAATATATATAAAAGGGCAGGCGATTCTACACAACTGGTATGCTTACCTGTGCAGCTTATGAATATATATCTGCCTTATGAACTAAGCTATATTTGCAATCGATAGCTGATCGTTACGATAAATATGTGAAAGCTGTATATACATATATAGATCAAGATAATTATGGCATGCGTATGCGCGTAGCTCGATAAATAACTTGGCATGCCACATCAACTAGGCTCAACATGCAGGCACGAAACGAAATGGAATGAAACACAATGAAAATAAAGACCACACCAAACGGACTACACACCACAAATCAGTGCGAGATCTAATGAAACCAAAAACAAAGCAAACATAAGCACAAAGTGAATTGAATCAACGAAAGTTCCAATACAAATTGCAGGCGTTTTTCATGGGCCAAACTGAAATTGGAACACACATAAAACTGAATACACAGACAGACAGAGTGGCAAAAAGAGAGAGGGAGAGGGTGAAGGAGAGTTAAGGAGAGACAGAGCAATCGTTTTTACGAACGCAAAAGAAAGCACAACAATTATAATCGATATGATTCTTATCGTTATTGTTATCGGTTATCGGCAAGACCTAGCACAAACAAAATAAAAAAATGAACATTTCAACAAAAGCCTAAAAAAAAAAAACGTTAAACAAACAAAACCAAATGCTTACATTTCGGTATTATTTTTGGTATTTTTTGGTTGGTAGTTAATAAAAAGAAAAACTGGTATTGTTTTCATTGAAACATTTAAGTGTTAGATAGATTACGATTATGGCATAAAATTAGGTGGTAAA